GGCCTCTGCCTGGCCTGCAGCGACCTCCATCCTCATCCCCGAGCAGCACCCCGGCCTCTGCCTGGCCTCCAGCGACCACCCACCGCACCCATCGACCCTGTCCGGCCCAGCACACAACCCGGATGGCCCGAGCTGTGGGCGTCTGATTCTCGCACCTCACAAATCCCTTCTTTGGTTGTCACACCGCACTTCTCATTCCTCCCTCGGTGGTCTTTGCTCCTCCTACCTGCTCTGCTCTGTTCACTCCTCAGCGTTTACTGAGCACTGTGCAGCAGACACTACAGACTCGAGTACAGACTTGTGCCTAAAAACACTACTTCAGAGGCCTGACAAACAGGGCCCAGATCATAATGCATGAGCTTGACATTGAGACCAGTCTCAAAAAGAAAAAATTACAAACTCTCTGAGGATACTAACTGAATTTGTTTCATCTTGTTTTGACAGGATCTAGCTCTGTCGCCCAGGCTGGAGTGCAGTGGTGCGGTCACTGCTGACTGCAGCCTTGACTCTCTAGGACCAAGCAATCCTCCAGCCTCCGTCGTCCGAGCAGCTGGGAGTACAGCCACGTGCCACCACGCCTGGCTCATTTTTGTAGAGATGGATTTTTGCCGTGTGGCTCAGGCTGGTCTGAGCTCAAGCAATCTGCCCACATTGGCCTCCCAAAGGGCTGGGATTATAGGCGTGAGCCACTGCGTCCCGCCTGAGTTGTGTAATTTTAATCCTAATAGCTTCATTTGCCTGATGTGCAGGAAGTTGCTATACTGAGACACTTGGAACTGCAGCAGAGGCGGAGCTTAACAACCACAGGGCAACTGAGCAAGAGACAGGAGGAGGCCTTCCATCCACCTCTCCGGGGAATTTGGGGCTAGGGATTTTGAGGGTTTTGGCGTGGCTGTGGTGTGGGAGTTGCTGATTAGTTGAAGTGCACAGGGTGAAGTCATGGGATGGGGGGAGGAAGAAACTGCATTCTCATGCCGACTTCGCTCCTCATGGGAGTCTTCAGCTGGTTGATGTCAGCTGTTCTGCTGGAATTGAGGATCTGAAAAACATGAAGCAATTTTTAAAGCCTTGTGGTTCTAACGTCAGCAGCCCTATCTGTAAGAACAATGGGGGTGCGCAGTCAGTATCTAGGACTATGTGGCTTTCAGTTGCAAGGAAGTGGGCCGAACTGCAGCCTGATTAATGCTTAGTTATAACTGCATTTCTGCCTAGAACCCGGCGTGTAATTCCTGTTAACCCTGTGAGGACAGTTTAAGATTCAAGAAGATATTCTAGAAATAAAATAAAAACAATCTTTCATTAAAAAGAGAAACAAGACATAATATAAAAACATAAAACACTCTTTTATTTAAAAGAAAAATAAGAAATAATAATTTGATAATAGAGGCCACCAAGAGAAAAGCTAACCAGAAACAAAAACGGAACAGTGTACTACAGGCAGGGAGGGGTGAGGCCAGGCCTGCTGCTTCTCATTAGACCGTCCAGTGGGTTGACTTAGCAAAGTCAGTGCTTTTTTAGTGGCGGCCAAAGAAAGGCGACCAGGAGTCCTGCCAAGCCCAGGGCGGTTAAGCCGAAGGCAGCAAAGCCCAAAGCTGCGAAGGCCAAGAAGGCGGCTGCCAAAAAGACGTAGGAAGCTGGCGTGTGAAAAGTGCAACCAAGCCCCCAAGGCTCTTTTCAGAGCCACCTAGAGATCAATAAAAAATTGCTGTGCACAAGATAACTTTGCCTTCCCACCCCACCTTATGCAGACATGTGGTTAATAAACAAGAGCAAAAAAAAAAAAGAAAAGTTAGTGCTAAGGAAAGTGATGGCAAAGAAGCTGAAGGGGAAGAGGCAATGTAGAATGTCAGAAAGGAATGTCTCCTGGAACAGAAGGAAGTTGAGTCTTCCGGTCTGAAGGCTCAGTGGGTGGCTGGCAGGCCAAATCAAAGTGGACACACGCTGAGATACTCGTGAAATACCAAAACTCCAGGAGGGGAAGATTCCAAAAGTTGTGTGAAAGAACTATAGCGTAGTTAGAAAATGGCATCAGACTTTAGAGCTAGCAGACAGAGGACTGTAACAGTGCAATCCCTTCAGAGTTCTGAGGGAAAATGACTTTGAGCCTAAAGTTTTTATGTAGCCAAACAATCAAACACAGTGCAAAATAAAACAGTCCAGCTAGGATTCAGAAGATATGTCTCCCATGCATTCTTTCTGAGAAGATCATTTAAGAATCTACTTAATGAGGCTGGGTGCGGTGGCTCATGCCTGTAATCACAGCACTGTGGGAGGCTGAGGTGGGAAGATCACTTGAAGTCAGTTCGGGACCAGCCTGGCTAAATGGCGAAACCGTCTCTACTGCAAATACAAAAATTAGCCGGACATGGTGGTGTGCCTGTAATGACAGTTACTCAGGAGGTTGAGGCAGAAGAATCGCTTGAACCCACAAGGCAGAGATTGTAGTGAGCTAAGATCATGTCACTGTACTCCAGCCTGGGTGACAGAGTCAGACTGTCAAAAAAAAAAAAAAAAAAAAAAAAAAAGGAATCTACTTAATAAAACAAGAAGACAAGAAAAAGAGAAGGCAGAGATCCAAGAAGGCGTGGACCTAAACAGGAATGCAAAGAAAATGGGTTCCAGGATCACAGCTACGCAGGAGACTTCAAAAGCAAATGATGCAGCGGGAAGTGGTGGCGCGCTCTGACTGCACCTGTGAATGACCAGAGCACTCTACTCTGGCCTGGGAAACACAGTGAGACCCTGTCTCTTAAAAAAAAAAAAAGGCAAATGATTCAATTAATTTTATTATTTTTATTTATTAATTTTTGAGACAGGGTCTCTCTGTTGCCCAGGCTGGAGTGCAGTGGTGCCTCCATAGCTCACTGCAGCCTCAACTTCAAGGGCTCAAGTGATCCTCGCACATCAAGTCTCCTGAGAAGTTGGGACCACAGGCATGCACCAGCATGCCTGGCTAATTTTTAAATCTTTTTACAGAGCTGAGGTCTATGTTATCCAGGCTGGTCTCAAACTCCTGGCCTTCAGCAATCCTCCCACCTCAGCCTCCCAAAGTACTGGGATTACCAGTGTGAGCCACCATGCCTGGCCAATGGTTCAATTTAAAACACTATCAGAGGGCTGGGCGCAGTGGCTCACTGCTGTAATCCTGGCACTTTGGGAGGCTGAGGCATGTGGATCACTTGAGGTCAGGAGTTTGAAACCAGCCTGGCCAACACAGTGAAACCCTGTCTCTACTAAAAATACAAAAATCAGCCAGGTGTGGTTGCACACACCTGTAATCCCAGGTACTACAGTGGCTGAGATGGAGAATCACTTGAACTGGGGAGGCGGAGGGCGTGGTGAGCTGAGGTTGCCCCCCTGTACCACAGCCTGGACGACAGCGAGACTCCATCTCAAAACAAAAACCCTAAAATGACAAGAAAACCTCTATTGGAGGATCCTGAGACATGTGTGTTTTAAGGAAAAAATTGGGTTTATGCAAACTGTGATAAGGCAATTGATTATCTTAGTGATAAGACAAAAGGCATTTTTTTTGGGTCAACAATAGCAATTAAAAAAACTCTAGGAAAAACAAAAAGCTGGACAAAAATGCCGTAGTGCAAATATAAAGTGAATTAAAAAATGACATACATTCTTGGCTTTAATGGAATGTGGAAAGAAATAGCTTGTCTTCGATTCTTATTCTTTGTGCTGCACAAATACAGAATTACATTTCTTTTATGATTTAGGTGTGCTCCCTGTCTCTAGGGTGAACTATCGTAATAGCATAAATGCCATTTATGAGTTTTCAACTTTTAGACAAAACATGCAAAGTCTAATTATGGTGAGGTCATCATAAAAGCAATCTGACAAGGGCTGTCAGAAATTGGGAAGGACAGGGAGAAATCATGGGGAAAAGTGATTTTTTTCATTTTATACAGAAGATATTCTTGAGAAACTGAGTACATTCATGGAGCAAGAGAATAGGGTTTCAATAAGTTCTTTACAATTACAAAGGTGACCCATAAAATCACTAATGACAACAGTGGATCAGACAGGGAGGAGCAGGTGGGGAAGTGCAATTACTTTGGGTTGCCTGATTCCTTGTGTTTTATGGAAACAACACAGTGGGTGGAGCCATTTTGTTTTCTTAATAATCTGTAATTACCTTTTTTTATTTTTTAAAGTCGGGGTTTCACCATGTTGGTCAGGCTGGTCTTGAACTCCCGACCTCAGGCGATCCGCCCGCCTTGGCCTCCAAAGTGCTTGGATTACAGGCGTGAGCCACCACGCCTGGCCAATCTGTAATTACTTTTAAACATTCTTTTGACGCAAAATTAAAAAAATACAAAAGGGTCTATGGGTGGAAAAGATTCTCGTGTGCCAGCTCCCAGCCTTCCGGCACACCATTCTGGGGCTCAGCCCTCGTGACTCGTGCACGCACAGGCCGCCCACACGGTGGCCGCAGGGCAGCTCCGCTCCACCCTTTTCTCACGTGGTAGCTCTCGACACTCACTGCAGACGGACGTCTACATCGTCCTTGGTTCAAAGCTGCATGGTCACACCATCACACGTGGACTTGGCAAGTGGCCAGTTTCCTTACTGACGAACATTTATTTTCTATGTATGCTGGAACAGTACTAGAAATCACTCCACGTGAGTGAATGAAACTTACTGGGTCAAAGGTGTGGGCATTTTCAAATTTAATACACCCTCACAAATTTACCTGAGAAACCATCATTTCACAATGTCTCAGTCCCCTCGAGCTGCCTCCATCACCGGAGCCGACAGCCTGTCCCCCACCACTGCTGGGCCTTTCACTCTCAGTGGCCCACCTCTCACCTCTCCCCCCTCCAGCCCTTTCTATTGGCCTTTTTGAATTCAGTCTGTGGTTCATAAGACCTCCATCTCCTAAACGTTTTTGCCAGGTGGTCCTGACACCTGCACTCCTGTTCCCCGAACTTCCTGGGCTGCTCCATGAGGCCTGGGCCTGGCCACTGCCTGTTTTCTCCTTCCAAACCCACCACAGGGTGCCCATTCCTCCTGGGAGGGGGGCAGAGGCCCACTGCTCACTTCATGACCTGCACGTCGGGTTGCAGGTGGGGCGAGGCCCTCCCTTCTGCCCACTGCCACTTCCAGGCTATATTCCTTCCGTGCCACTGGACACCCCAGGAGGTGCACCCTTCCCACTGGCGGGCCCACCTCTAGGCCCCGGGGCTGTCCTGAGCTCATGGCCTCCAGCACTGGCTCCTGTCAGTGTCCCTCACTTCTGGATGACCGTCAGGTCTTGTCCCCTGTGCTCTGGCCCCACTTTCCCATCTGTCCTCACCAAGACCATCATTGCCAACAGCTGCGCCCTCCAAGCTTACTTCCTAAATCTTCACCTTGCACAACCCCTCACCCCCCAGCCTAGGGCCACGATCACCGTCACAACCAGCATTTCCTTGGCACCACCACACCTACAGCCAGCCCACACCTGCCCCCACTTCCTGTGCCCTCGGTCCCACCCTCACCTGGGATATTAGGGCCGTGCAGCAGGATGACGCCCAGTCACCTGCCACTGAAATGCAGCTCTGCTCCGCAGCCTCTCGGAGTCATCTCCCCCGCCGTCCATCTGTTCCTGAAAGCAGGGTCTGTCCTCATGGCACCGTTTCCTCTGTCCCACTCTCTTAGAGGTAATGAAGAACTCACACTTACCCAATGGTTTGGGGGTGGTCTCCTTGTTAACTTCCAGTTCTGCTAACATTAAACTAATCAGTATTTTGTCATACATTTTGTCCAAGATGGTTTCAGTTTCTTAAATCTTGTTTTTCCCTATGTTGACTTCAAAAGATGTCATTTAATGTCAATCATTTTTTAAGAAAATCGATGTTAATTCACTATTTAGTGGAAAACACAAAGAATAAAGGGGCAATGGGTACAAAAATCTTAGAAAGGAGGAATATATTCTTTTTCTGAGTTCTGTTGCACAGCATAGTGAATATAATAAAAAATAGAGTATTGTACATATCAAAGTTGCTAAAAGTAAATTTCACATGTTCTCACTACAAAAATGTTAAGTACTTGAGGTGATGGATCCAAGTACCTTGACTAGTCCGCATTGTATGCATAAGTTATAAGATCACTTTATACAATTACAAATTGCCAACTTACAAAAATGTATCTCATGTTTATGGTTTCACAGTTTTTACAGGTAAATACTCAACCACTTGGAATTTCTTCGTATAAAAAGGGAAGTCTAATCCAACTTTTCGCTTTTCAAGGAGGTGACCCAAGCTTCCAAGCATGGGCACCTGCTGCAAGTCCCCAGCTCCTGATCGCATGGGGCCCTCTGTGCCACGCCGCATCCCCGTGTGTTTGCCTTATTTGTGGACTTCCTTGTTCCAGGAACCGTTTTAAAGGGCCAGCATCAATTACATTGTTCTAAAAACAAACAAGAATTTAAAACAATTTGACTATTCTTGCATATTTTTTCTTTTTAGAATCAGCTTGTGTTTTAAAGGAAGTTTTTTACATCTTAAGGTACTGTATACTGAAATGTGAGAATAAATAACAGAACTTTCACTTATTGAAGGCCTGTGTTCCTTAGTAATTTTAGAATGCCTTTCACATAGGTGTTTCCCTATTTGCTACTAGGTATTTTATTTTTGAGACGAAGTTTTGTTCTTGTTGCCCAGGCTGGAGTGCAATGGTGCGATCTTGGCTCACGCAACCTCCTCTTCCTAGGTTCAAGCGATTCTCCTGCCTCAGCCTCCTGAGTAGCTGAGATTACAGGCATGCACCACCACTCCCAGCTAATTTTGTATTTTTAGTAGAGATGGGGTTTCTCTATGTTGGTCAGGCTCGTCTCGAACTCCCGACCTCAGGTGATCTGCCCGCCTCCGCCTCCCAAAGTGCTGGGATTATAGGCATGAGCCACTGCGCAGTCCCAGTATTTTATTTTTTTTTGGTTGTTATTGAAAAAATGACCTTTGGCCAAGTGCAGTGGCTCATGCCTATAATCCCAGCATCTGGGGAGGCAGATGTGGAAGGTTCGCTTGAAGCCAGGAACACAAAACCAGCCTTGGCAACATAGCAAGATGCTGTCTCTACAAAAAATAGAATAAAAATTATCTGGATGTGGTGATGTGCACCTGTAAGCCCAGCTACTCAGGAGGCTGAGAAGAGAGGATCACTTGAGCCCAGGAGGTAGAGGCTGCAGTGAGCCATGACCATGCCACTGCACTCCAGCTTGGGTGACAGTAAGACCCTGTCTCTAAATAAAAATAAAAAATGACCCTCCATTATAATCTGTATTTAATGCAAAACTACTTACTTTTTTGTTAATTTTGTGTACAGTTAACTTAGTGAATTCTTTCTTCAGTAATTGCTTTCCATTTGTTCCTCTTAGATGACCTGGGCATGCAATCATCTAATCTGCAAATAATTTCACCTTTTCCTTTCTACTTTTACACCTTTTTGCTTGTCTAAGTGCCGTTTCTTTTTCCATTATTTCCTCCACACTATTTGTTTTACCACACTGACCTTTAACAATAAAACATTAAATACTGCTAAATAAGAGGATAGAAACAAATAGAATTTCCTTTCTTTCTTTTTAAAAATACAAATAGGCAGGCTGGGTGCGGTGGCTCATGCCTGTAAATCCCAGCACTTTGGGAGGCTGAAGTGGGCAGATCACCTGAGGTCAGGAGTTCAAGGCCAGCCTGGCCAACATGGTGAAACCCCATCTCTATAAAAATACAAAAATTAGCTGGGCATGACGGCAGGTGCCTGTAATTCCAGCTACTCGGGAGGCCGAGGTGGGAGAATTGTTTGAAACTGGGAGACAGAGGGTGGAGTGAGCCAAGATCGTGCCATTGCGCTCCAGCCTAGGCAACAGAGCAAGACTCCATCTCAAAAAAAAAAAAAAGATAAAATAAAAAATAAAATAAATAGAAACAGGATCTCCCTATGGTGCACAGGATAGTCTGGAACTCGGGCTCAAATGATCCTCCCCCCTTGCCCTCCCAAAGCTGGGATTACAGGCATGAGCCGCTGTGTCTGAATGAAACAAAACAGAATTAAAGGCACAGCACAATGAATCATCAGAGTGAAGGAGACCCATTTGCCACGGCAGTTTGTGGTACAGGTGACCAGGAAAGAAAAATCACCTGAGAAGGGACAGGTGCTCCCTGCTTCTCACTTCTGTCTAGCCCACTAGTCGTCAAAGCTGCTAAAGAGTTAGGAAGAATGTGTTGTTTGCATATCACAAAATTTTATTAATGTAATTTTAAGGCCAATTAAACTAATTTTATTAAAAGTAAGTCTACATTAAATTACAATATTAATCGCTAGGCACAATGAACTTAAAATATAAGAAATAAAAATAGAAATCTGGTCTTTCTTAGACCACGTATCATAGAATAAATGAAAATCCTCAAAGATAGAAATGACAAAGAGTGAGGATTTTAATATGGAAATGCACAAGGTGTCATATTTCGAACCCACGTTTCAAAAAGGGAATCTTTTAATAATTTAGCACAAAATCAAATTATATAAACTTGGTATATTCCAGAAAATATTGCTTTAAACATTTATGCCATGATCAAAATTCCTTTGGTAGCTTTTAATCAAAATGAAACATGCTATTATGTAAAATATAAAGTACTTTTAAATGTTATCTCAAAAGTATCTTTGTCATAGTTACCATTCTAACATCACTACTGAACTTTCATTTCACTGTTCAACCTCATGTATATATACACAACACAAAACCAGGTACCAACAAAATCCTTTTAATCTTTCAACAAAATACCCTCTGCTTCACAACATCAAGACTTTAAGTCTCCATAAACTTTTTACAGTTTACAGCAGAGAACAAGGGTTGTCCCTGCACATGACTGTAAAACCAAACCAAACTTTTAATGATTGCAATCATACAAATACTGCAATTTAAAAAAATCAAAGAGCAGTTACCCCAATGCAAAAAAAAACAGGGACTGCCAGACTCAATCTTAGCATGGAAACACATGAGCCCCAAACCCTTAAACAGAGATTCACAAGCAACTCAGCTGAAACGAACAGATGCGGCAGGGCGGACACCACGGCCTTGGCACCTCAGGGAGCTCACTTAGAAACCTGACTTACAAAAAACCAGCCATCAAAGTTTAAAACTTTTGGAAATACATGACACAGAGAGGCCAGTGGCTAGGATGCACCATCCATTTTGCCAGCTTCGAACCCTGGCTCTTTCTAATGTTCACCCACGAAGTATCCTTGTTTTCACTCTAAATGCCAATCATCTGAGCGAGCTTGTCTTCAGGGGTACCTACGGAATCTTTAGAGCTAAAAAATGCAGCATCTAGGGTCTTCTTCATTGTGCATTCATGATCACAAACAAGAACAAACCAAACTTTCAGCTTTTTGACACAAGAACAAGACCTTTTAAAGGAACTTCTTTTTAGCAATGTCTTCGTGTCCAATCTCAAAGTTATTTTGCAGAGTAACAGAAACAATTTAAATGCCTAAAAGAACTAGAGGAAAAACCAGAGGGAAAAAAGACACATCTGCCAGTTGAAGTCTTGAGTCTTGCGGAGGATGACCCAGGAGGAGTCACCTCCCTTCTTTCTTTTAATGTCCACAGCTGGATCAATCACAGAGTCCTGGAAATGGCACAGGTGTGCTTCCCTGCTCTGAGGGTACATTCTAGTGTTTCATGAAGGGGAACTGTCTGCAGATGCATCAGGCCACGTAGTGGTACTGATTCGGATTGTCTCTGTCTCTCTCCATATAGTCTCTGTCTATCAGAGATTCAATTCTCTTTTTCAAATCTCCAGGCTAAAAAAGAAAAATAAAACAACTCCCCTAATTATAGTGGCAATAAATTTACAAACATAGGAGTATATGCATGAAGTATGTAATTGTAATTATTGAAAAAATACATATATATATATATACACAAATAGACATTTATATATAAATCATTTATAATTATGTACATTTATAAAAGGAATACAACTGTCTATTTTAAAGTTAATGTTACCTCTAGATCAAAAATGTGTCCATGTGAGTTTACGGTCAGAGTGTGGCTTCCTGAGGGAAATGTGAAACTTGTAAAATATACATACATCAGCTACCATCATAAAGAGAACATAAGCAAGGTAGAGCCCATCACATGACACATTTTTGTTTGTTCGAAAGGAAAATCTCATGTCTTATTGGGGCTTTTTTTTTTTTTTGAGACAGAGTCTGGTTCTGTCACCCAGGCTAGAGTGCAGTGGCACGATCTCAGCTCACTGCAACCTCCACCTCTAAGGTTCAAGTGATTCTCCTGCCTCAGCCTCCCAAGTAGCTGGGATTACAGGAGCCTGCCACCATGCCCAGCTAATTTTTGTATATTTAGTAGAGAGGGGGTTTCACTGTGTTGGCCAGGCTGGTCTTCAACTCCCGACCTTGTGATCTACCTGCCTTGGCCTCCCACCAAAGTGCTGGGATTACAAGCGTGAGCCACCTTGCCTGGCCTTATTGGGGCATTTTTATCCTTTGTAAGGATGCTTCTGCCTAAGTACCCTATTTTATTTATGTATTTATTTATTTTGAGATAGAGTCTCATTCTGTTGCCCAGGCTGGAGTGCAGTGGTGCGATCTCAGCTCACTGCAGCCTCAACCTCCTGGACTCAAGAAATCCTCCTGTTTCAGCCTCCCCAGTAGCTGGGGCCACAGGTGCACACCACCATGCCTGGCTAATTTTATTTTTTGTAGTGAAGGGATCTCAATATGTAGCCCAGGCTGGTCTCAAATTCCTGGGCTCAAGCAATCTGCCTGCCTCAGCCTCTCCGAGTGCTGGGATCACTGGTGTGAGCCAGCACCACACCTGGCTGTATTTTTATTCTTACGTATTTATACAGTTATTACATGCTATGTCTACATATGTGAAACTACAATCCTAAGTGTTCCTGTGCTAAAAGTAGGTAACTGACTAGACCAATCCACAGCCATGCTTGTCTCTGCCCTGGAGGGGCACCCACTCCAGCTCTGCTGTATGAGGAAGCAAATCTGTGTGAGCACTTATGTGCAAGGTTCTCCTATTCAAGGGAGACCCGCTATTTTCCAAACAAACATAACCTTCTTTTCAGTGATAAGCCGCATATTTTAGAAGATGTGGCTGAAAACCTAACTACCCATGAGAGCACAGCAGGTGCCCTGGTTGGCCACACTCTGCCCTCGCCCACCTTCTGCTTCATGCTGGGCCTAGTTGTTTGCAGTGGGAACAGGAGACGTGCTCCAGCTGGTGGGAGGAAGGGGCAGTGTCCCTGACGGTGCTTCCGAAGCTGCACAGGGCCCTGAGGATGCCACCTCACCCCTGCAGGGAAGGAGGCAAATGCAGGCTCATGGACAATGCATTTCCATCAGACTCTTACGTGTTTGACTATTTAGTGCAGCCCAACTTTATTCTCCTGATGGGAGGGTCAAACTGCACAACATAGAATTTGGGGACTTTCCCTCCAAAGCATGTGTGGCTGATCCAGTCCCTCAGAGGCTAGGTGTCATCAGAGTTTAGGATTTTCTAGGTTGATAACTACGTGTAAAAACATTTCGTAATTCTTTCCTGGCTTATCCTGCATCCCACATGTGGCAGGACAGTAAATCTCAGTTCTAAATACACAGTGCAGATTGACAGGTCTGGGCCGATTTTCATAAGCAACAGCGACAGTGGACAATATTACCATGGCAGAAAATGCTGGGCAACCTGTACTTGCTGAATAAGTTAGTTATTGTCATCATTTCCTTAAAATCTTGTGATGTAACCTTGACCACTGCTACTATAAGAAAAGTGTTGAGCTTTCCATGTTGTATCTTCCTCTCCCCTTCTTGAAAATATGAACAAGCGCACTATCCCTGGGAAGGAGAGTTTTAGGGCACTATCATTTCTACAGTGGCAACGAACAACATCTGGAATAAAAGTCTTCACATTCGCCAGTCTTTCTACATTCAGTTTACACACAAATGATCAGGAAAAATGCAGGTCAAATGATATGACTGAACCCAGTGAGAATTAAACACGCTTTGCCAATTACCTAGCATAATACTACAAATTTAATTAAGCTAATGTTACACTTACCTTGACTGGAAATTTCAGCTGATTATATAATTCAGAAACTAGAAGATTATGACCAAGGGTCTTTCTCATCTTCATTATTCTGACGATAGCAGCATCAATCTGATATTGTCTATCCTGAAACACTCTCTCAGTGGTGCTAACTTGTTCCTCAACCTGTATAAAAAAGAAAAAAAAAGTTAAGTGCAAAGCTGTATTTTCTTTCTTTCTTTTTTTTTTTTGAGATGGAGTCTTGCTCAGTCGCCCAGACTGGAGTGAAATGGTGGGATCTTGGCTCACTGCAACCTCTGTCTCCCAGGATCAAGCGATTCTCCTGCCTCAGCCTCCTGAGTAGCTGGGATTACAGGCACCCGCCATCATGCCTGCCTACTTTTTTGTATTTTTGTAGAGATGGGGTTTCACCATGCTGTCCAGGCTGGTCATGGACTTCTGACCTCAGGTGGTCTGCCCTCCTCGGCCTCCCAAAGTGCTGGGATTATAGATGTGAGCCACTGTACCCAACCTATATTTTCAAAATTAACGATTTTATGTTACCAAATTTGATGAGAAATGTTCTTTTGATGCAAAGAAAGGTCAGACATTGGATGAATTCTACTCTATTATGCAGGTTTATTTGTTCTAGTAAAATGTACCTTCCCAGAAGAGCAAAACTCCCAAACCAAAGTTTAGAAAGTATTTTTAAAAGTTATATTTTCCTTAAAAGAAAGCTGTAACAACTCTATATATGATGTAGATTAAAACTAGCAGCACAGTAAACAAAACAAAGCATAATGACCATCAAGATATATTCCAGAAATGTAAGCGTTGATCAACATTAGGAAATATGTGAATATAAGTGAGGGCACTGTCATAGTTGAAAGGTTAGATTATATGACCATCTTGATAGATGTTGGAAAAGGCATGATCAAACTGAAAACTGACTTTTGATTTAAAATCAACATTAGCCTACAAGGATGAATAAAAAAGGAAAGAATCTGAACATGACGAAGTGTGGTTATCAGAAACAAACAGCAAATACTAGAGGCAACATAACCTTAGTCAAATAGGAACCTGATGGGGCTGTGGTCTGCAGCTGAGATGTGTCTCTGCATACATGTGAGGCAAGTATGCTTCAGGCAGGACAGACTCCAAGCTTTCATCACATGTTCAACAGGATCCACGACCCCCAAAAGTGAGTATTCTCTGAGCCAGAGATAAAATTAGGAAGCTTAGTTGCATTGCTAATCTTTAAAAACGTTACTTTAGAGGTTCTAACTATGCAACATGGGAACAGACTAAAGAGGTATATTGAAAAGGTGTAGAAAAAATGATCATATTTATAGATGAGCTGGAAAATCCAAGAAAATCAACAGAAAAACTTTCAAAGCAAACGAGTTTTGTAAAGTGGCTGGAAATAAATAAACAAGTAGCATTAATAATATACATTCTGATAAAAACTCAGAAATGTAAAGAAAAAAGACCCTCTTTATAAGATATCAACATTTCATTAGCCCGTCTTGCTTAAAACTCTAGTTGTTTTCCAAATGCTTCACAGGTCTGAGCCATCTCCAGACAGTCTGGCTGTGGCTGCCTGATTAGGCCTGCCTGGCTCAGCTTCCCCTTTTGGCAACAATGCTGCAGTCAGAGGCCTTTCAGTTCCTGGGAAAGCCTTGGCTGACCCCAGTATTTGATTAGGCTCTGCTGCACCTCTCTGTCCTAACATTTTCCTCCACTCTTATAGGTTAGTCAATGTGTGTGATCCTCTGCAACCTCTCTGCCAGAAAAGACTGAACGCGCCTAGAAACAAGGACTTATTCTTTATTGTTAGTGAATGAATTATCAGTGCTTCATAGAGGACCTGGCCCACCACAGATGCTCAGTAAGTATTTGTTAAATGAATTAAAATTTATAACTAGCAAGAAATATGCACGACTAAAACTAGAAAGCTCTGAGAAAGAGAAAAGGTTTGCATGTACATTTTATACATACACATATGCACAAATCAGAAGATGCAACATAAAGAAAAACTCTGCAAATTAATGCAGTATGTATTTAAAATGTTAATGTTCTTATTTAGGGGAGCAAAGACATGATACAATTATTGTGAAGTTCATTGGAAAAATAAAGTTAAAGGAATAGCTCACTATTAAAAGAAGCTGGTGCCAGGCGTGGTGGCTCATGCCTGTAATCCCAGCACTTCGGGGGGGTCAAGGTAGGAGGACTGCTTGAGCCTAGGAGTTCAAGACTAGCTGGGTAATATGGAAAGACCCCATCTCTACAAAAGTACAAAAAATTAGCCAGGCTTGGTGGCACACACCTGCGGTCCCAGCTACATCAGAGGCTGAGGTGGGAGCATCTCTTGAGCCCACATGGTTGAGGCCGCAGTGAGCTAAGATCACACCACTGCACTCCAACCTGGATGACACAGCCAGACCCTGTCTCAAAAACAAAAAAACAAAAACAAAAAAATACCCACCCACACCAAAACTGGGGGTGGGGAGAGGGCTGGCTATGAAACAGATACAGAATTATATAAGAGAATTGAGAAACTGACCTATAGTCTATGAATTTGATACATAATAAGGTGATCATTCAAATAACTTGTTCAAGGATAATATTTTAAGTTTTAGAATTTTAGGTTTTAGAAAGGGTGGGTGGTTAGATTGGTTTCACATACTAAAATAATTTCTACATCATGCAAAGAAACATTTAAATGTAAAAATTTCTAGAAAACAGCATAGAATGTTTTTAAAAAATCTGGTTAAGGGAACTTCTCTCTCAGGTTTGTGATACAGTTTTGAGTATGTGTACCCTCCAAATCTTATGCTGAACTGTGGTCTCCAGTGTTGGAGGTGGGGCCTGGCAGGAAGTGACTGGGTCAAGGCAGTAGGTCCCTCGTGAATGGCTCGGGCCCCTCCGCTTGTGATGAGATCTGGTGGTTTAAACACGTGAGGCCCCTCCCTGCTCTTGCTCCTGCTTTTGCCATGTGAGCCGCCTGCCTGGAAAGTTCCTGAGGCCCTGCCAGAAGCTGAGGCGATGCTGGTGCCATGCTTTCTGTGCAGCCTGCAGAACTGTGAGCCCATTTCACTTCTCTTCTTTATAAATTACCCAGTCTCGGGTTTTTCCTTACAGCAGCGCAAGAACGGCCTAATACAACATGACACGTTAGGTCAGAAGCCGTAAAAGAAAAGGAGAGTATAATTTGAGAACTTAAAAACTGTTATGTGGAAAAAAAAACCCCACTAAAAACAACAAAATTACCTGTCAAAAATGACAAAGTAGGGTGGGCATGGTGGTTCACACCTGTAGTCTCAGCACTTTGGGAGGCCGAGGTGTATAGTTCACCTGGGGTCAGGGGTTTGAGACCAGCCTGGCCAACCTGGTGAAACCCCATCTCTACTGAAAAGACAAACCTTAGCTGAGTGTGGTGGCAAGTGCCTGTAATCTCAGCTATTCAGAAGGCTGAGACAGGAGAATTGCTTGAACCCAGGAGATGGAGGGAGTGGTGAGCCGAGACCACGCCACTGCACTCCAGCCTGGGTGACAGACAGAGACTCCCCCCAACCCAAAAAAAGGACAAAGCATTAATATCCTTAATATATAAAGAAAACCTACTAATCAATAAAAGAAAGAACATTATAATAAATACATGACTTGAAAAGCAATTAAAGAAAGAAAAATACAAATGGCTAAGCATAAAAAGGGCAGCATAAACATTTATGAAGTGCTTACAGGTGTGTGGCAAAGAGCTTTATAAACGATTCATTTGACTCTCACACCTTGAGGTAGTAGTATGTCTATTTGAAATATGAGAAACTGAGTATTAGAAAGATTATATTATGTATAAACTACTCAGTGGTAGTAAGATGCTCAGAGCAATCAAAGGAAAAACGAAAACTGTAATAAATTATCTTTGGGCTGCTCAGAACAGCGTGGGCAAAGGACAGGGGGAGGTGGGGCAGGTGCTCTCCTAAAAGCAGACACTGTGATCTGGAGAAATCTGCCAGACTTCAATTTTGAAAAGGGCAGTCAAACTAAGAAACGTCATGTTATTTTACCTAGCAGCTCCACAGCAAGAATCATATAAAGAAACAATCCAATAAGCACACAGAAACGTCTGTGCCAGGGTGTTTAACGTAATCTTATTTCCAGGAGGGGAAATGGAGGAGTGCTGGTGCCTGCGGCCGAGGGCACTGCCAGCCATGCTGGGTCCACACAACCGGCACTCTGCTCCTACAACAAGTCCTGGCCAGGAGAAGACTGTGACAAGCAATGAAAGCTGGCTACAGGAGGGCCCTGACAGGTGCCATATATACAGTGATTCCCAGGCGTTTGCTCTTGTAGAGCTGGGGACCTCACTGCATTGCTCAGGATGGCCTCAAACTCCTGGGCTCAAGCAACTCTCCCGAGTAGCTGAGACTACGGGTGTAAGCCACTGTGCCTGGCTTAGTGATCCCACTTAAAAAAATGTTTACATGTACTTGTACCACAGAAAAAAGGCTGTGACCACAAACAAAATGGGCAACAGTGGTTCTCTTTGGGAGGAAGAACTGACAGACCTTCCCGCTTCTGCTCACTGTAAAAGTTGCACCCTCAAAGGAGTTAAAAACCCAAGTCCACATAAAAACCTGCACAGAAGTGTTCATAGCAGCTTTAGTCATAAGCATCAAAACTTGGAGGCAATCAAGATGACCATCAGTAGGTGAAAGGATAAGTTGTGATGCATCCAGAAAATGGACAATCGTTCAGTGCAGAAAGCAATGAGTGACCCAGCCATGAAAAGACATGGGTGAACCTTAATGCATTCTACTAAGTCAAAGAAGCTAATCTGAAAAAGCTACACACTATGACTCCAGCTGCATGCATTCAGGAAAGGGCAAAACTATGGCAACAATAACAGGGTCAGGGGTTGCCAGGGTCTCGGAGGGAGACAGGGATACAATGACAGATCTAAGACAATTTTTAGGGCAATGAAACGGTCCTGTATGATCCTATAATGGTGGACACAGAACATTACACATTTATCCAGGCCCACAGAATGCAACACCGAGAGTGAACCGTATGTAAACTGTGTCCTCTGGATGATAATCATGTCAATGTAGGTGCACTGATGCTAAGAACTGGATACTCTGGTGGGAGATGTTGATACTGGGGACTCATTAGAAATGTATGTACCTTCCTTTCAATTTTGCTGTGAATCTAAACAACACTAAAAATAGTCTGTAAAAAAAAAAAAAAAAAAAAAAAAAGCACACATTCACACAAGTTTACCATCCAGTTCTTTTTTTTTTTGAGACAGAGTCTCGCTCTGTTGACCAGGCTGTATGCACTGGCGTGACTTCAGCTCATTGCAACCTCTGCCTCCTGAGTTCAAGCCGTTCTCTGCCTTAGCCTTTCAAGTAGCTGGGATTACGAGCATGCACCTGGCTACTTTTTTTGTATTTAGTAAAGATGGGGTTTCACCATGTTAGTCAGGCTGCTCTCAAACTCCTGACCTCAGGTGATCCAACTGACTCGGCCTTCCAAAGTGCTGGGATTAAAGGAGTGAGACACCGTGCCCGGCCACATCTTTTTATTTCTTGATTGGTCTTTTGTGTTTACTTTTGTGTGTTCTGACTGCGCCATAGCTGAACCCCTCTAGGTGGGTGAGGCATCATCATCTCCTGCCAGAGGCATTTGTGATCCAGCTTCAGGTCAATGAATGTTGTCTTTATTGTCTAAAATGACTTCACTCCTTCACAAGGCCCCTGGTTACACGCTCTTGTCTAGATTTGGTATTTACACAGACCAGGAGGCCAGCTCGTCCATGTTACACATGTGGGTTGTGGGGGG